TCTAAACTCCGCAACTGGGCAGGACTTTTGGCAAGCGACTCAGGAGGACACTTCTCGACTGGTACTGTCGCTGGGCTGTCACTGCCGGCAAGCGTGGAGTAAGTCGTGGAGCGAGTCGTGGCAGAGACGACTGGGTGAAACATCAGGGAGTCATAACATCATACACCAGACTGCAGTGAGTGAGCTAGCAGTCAAAGTGACATCATCTTTGTGCAGGAGCACACTGAAGCTATGACACGAGGCTGACACAGCGCCTGCTGACAAGGCTAACTGCAGCTTGACGAGTGTCATTCTCTCAGCAGTTGGAGTTATAGCAGAGGTTAGTCTAAGCATCCCCAGACTTGTTTCTCTACATATAACTGCACTCTGAAGGTCTGGAGGTGAAGTGAAACAAATCTCGATGGGAGTCGTAGCAGGTACGATTCTGCAGAACATCACGAGTGGCAAACAATAAGAGCTTTCTGTACAAGAGGCTCGGTCGCTCGGGGCTGAGTAATATCAACTGTCAAACACACTGGTCACACCAGGTGACAGGCAACAAAGAGCTACACAGGGGTCTGGCCGCAGACCACACTGGACACATGGAAAACTTTACACACACCCATGGTACATGCGGTACAGCATGGCTTAAACTAGCAAATGATGCTTTTCTGTGCACAAAATTGACACTAAGCCATACATTAACATGTGAGAACACAGAGAGGAATTAACACATGACATATATCTCTCAATCTTCTCGACAATACTGACATAATTACTGAAACACTCGATGTGACATGTGATGTCAGGCGTGATATTGTGAGGCGACGTCAGCAGCACTGTGACGTCGGCAGACATCTCGAGGTGACGTCAGGCAGACATCGTGACATGAGGTCGGGCAGCAGCATCGGTAACTCACGTGGCTCGTAGATCCACGTGGCTTCGTCCACACCTCACGTGGCATTGGGATCTTTGTGGCATGCTGATACACATGGCTTGCTGATCCACGTGGCTTGGTGATCCACATGGCTTGGTGATCCACAAGGCTTGGTGATCCACAAGGCTTGGTGATCCACATGGCTTGGTGATCCACGTGGCTTGGTGATCCACGTGGCTTGGTGATCCACGTGGCTTGGTGATCCACGTGGCTTGGTGATCCACGTGACTTGGTGATCCACATGGCTTGGTGATCCACGTGGCTTGCTGATCCACGTGGCTTAGTGATCTACGTGGCATGCTGATCCACGTAGCTTCGAGTGGCCTCGGGCACTCGGATACACAGCACTGGCAATGACTTCACACGGAAAACAGCAGAAAACTCAGCAGAGGGAGTGATGGCATGGTGGTGTATGGTAGTGTAGTGGCGAGGAGCGTGGGTGAGTATGGCGAGGGAGGATCTGGCCACTTCCTCCTCTCAAACCCACAACATTGTGAAATACTCATACTGGATGCAGAAATCACCACAAAACTCGCCTCTGGCTTGCTGAAATAGCTGTTCTGAGCTGAACAGCAGCAGAACATACAAGTGACGCTGAACACGTGACTTGAGAAACAGTGTGGGACACTGTGGCGTGGGGTCACTGGGACGCCAGACACGACATCAGGATAACTCGTTGAGAGCCGGATGTTTCTAGTGCAGAGTGATGAAGTGAACACAACTTCATTCCATTTCCTTCCTCTCTCCAGGCAAACACACTTGCTGCGACCACCGTTTCCCACCATTTATAACCAGTTTGGTGGCTCTTGCAGAGCGGGGTTTAATGATAAACGTCTTCGGAAGCTTCTTTACTTTATTTTGCAAAGTTGTGGTGGGTACACAGGCTTGTGTGTTTGTGCCCATGGCCCAGGAGGGCCATACCCACGATGGAGAGAGCTAGTAGGACTGTTGACTGCTTCTAGGCCACTGAGAGAGTGAGCGAGTGGGAGTGCGAGTGGGACCAGCGTCCCACTGATCTGGGCAGGCCAAGAGAGGGCAGCACCTTAGTGCCGCAAAATATGAACTAACCTGGCAGACAGCATAGGCTGTCTGTGCAGACAGTACAGGCTGTCTACATGTACACTACCATAAAGTATACTTTAATCCTGTTTAAATTATAAGTAAAACTATATCTATACATCTTGGAGATGCTCACCATTTAGTGTATATAACCTGTGGGTGTTTATATTATGTATGTAAAATTACAATCATAACCAAGCGCTAAACCCGCAAGGGTCATACAGCATTGTATGTAGGTAAATACGACTACTCAGTACCATATAAATATTTAACCAGTATAAATTATTTATAGAGGGACCACAGATACATCAGATCACTTTTAAGTTGTAGCTACAGTAAAAGGTAGATGGGATACAAGGAAAATAGAAGCAGCAAGTAATAGAGAGGTGAAGGTTTATAAACTAAAGGAGGAAGCAGTTAGGGTAAGATATGAACAACTATTGGAGGATAGATGGGCTAGTGAGAGAATAGGCAATGGGGTTGAAGATGTATGGGGTAGGTTTAAGAATGTAGTGTTAAGAGTATTTAACAGAGGTTTGTGGTTACAGGAAAGTGGGTGCAGGAGGGAAGAAGAGCGATTGGTGGAATGATGTAGAGTAGAAAGAGAGAAAAAGTTAGCATATGAGAAGTTTTTACAAAGTAGAAGTAATGCAAGGAGGGAGTGTATGGAGAGGAAAAGAAATGTTAAGAGAGCAGTGAAGCAATGTAAAAAGAGAGCAAATCAACAAATTTTGTTGAAAATAAGTAAAAGTTTTGGAGTGAGATTAATAAATTGAGGAAGCCTAGGGAACGAATGGATTTGACAGTTAAACATAGGAGAGGAAAGTTATTAAATGGAGAGTTACAGGTATCAGGAAGATGGAGGGAATATTTTGAGGAATTGTTAAATGTTGATGATAGGGTAGCTATGATTTCGTATATAGGGCAAGGAGGAATAACATCTTGTAGGAGTGAGGAAGTGCCAGTTGTGAGTGTGGGGGAAGTTTGTGAGGCAGTAGGTAAAATGAAAGGGACTAAGGCAGCTGGGATTGATGGGATAAGGACAGAAATGTTAAAAACAGGTGGGGATATAGTTTTGGAGTGGTTGGTGCTTTTATTTAATAAATGTATGGAAGAGGGTAAGGTACCTAGGGATTTGCAGAGAGCGTGCATAGTTCCATTGTATAAAGGCAAAGAGGACAAAAGAGAGTGTAAAAATTATAGGGGAATAAGTCTATTAAGTATACCTGGTAAAGTGTATGGTAGTTATTATTGAAAGAATTATGAGTAAGACAGAGAGTAGGATAGCAGATGAACAAGGAGGCTTTAGGAAAGGTAGGGGGTGTGTAGACCAAGTGTTTACAGTGAAACATATAGGTGAACAGCATTTAGATTAGGGTAAAGAGGTTTTTGTGGCATTTATGAATTTGGAAAAGGCATATGACAGGGTGTATAGGGAGGCAATGTGGTAGTTGTAAATCTATGGAATAGTAGGTAGGTTACTGAATGCAGTGAAGAGTTTTTACGAGGATAGTGAGGCTCAGGTTAGAGTATGTAGGAGAGAGGGAGATTATTTCCCAGTAAAAGTAGGCCTTAGACAAGGATGTGTGATGTCACCGTGGTTGTTCAATATATTTATAGATGGGGTTGTAAGAGAAGTAAATGCGAGGGTCTTGGCAAGAGGTGTGGAGTTAAAAGATTAAGAATCTAACACAAAGTGGGAGTTGTTACAGTTGCTCTTTGCTGATGACACTGTGCTTTTGGGAGATTCTGAAGAGAAGTTGCAGAGGTTGGTGGATGAGTTTTGTAGGGTATGTAAAATAAGAAAATTAAAAGTGAATACAGGAAAGAGTAAGGTGATGAGGATAAAATTCGGTGACGAAAGATTGGAGGGAGAGAGTATTCAGATATTTAGGAGTGGACGTGTCAGCAGATGGGCCTATCAAGGATGAGGTGAATCACAGAATTGATGTTAAAAAGGTGAATGGTGCACTTAGGAGTCTGTGGAGACAAAGAACTTTGTCTATGGAAGCAAAGAGGGGAATGTATGAGAGTACAGTTATACCAATGCTCTTATATGGGCGTGAAGCATGGGTGGTGAATGTTGCAACAAGGAGAAGGCTGGAAGCAGTGGAGATGTCATGTCTGAGGGCAATGTGTGGTGTGAAAATAATGCAGAGAATTCGTAGTTTGGAAATTAGGAGGAGGTGCGGGATTACCAAAACTATTATCTAGAGGGCTGAGGAGGGGTTGTTGAGGTGGTTCGGACATGTAGAAAAGGTAGTACAAAATAGAATGACTTCAGGAGTGTATAAATCTGTAGTGGAGGAAAGGCGGGGTAGGGGTCGGCCTAGGAAAGATTGGAGGGAGGGGGTGAAGGAGGTTTTGTGTGTGTGGGGCTTGGACTTCCCGCAAGCATGCGTGAGCATATTTGATAGGAGCGAATGGAGACAAATGGTTTTTAGGACTTGACGTACTGTTGGAGTGTGAGCAAGGTAACATTTATGAAGGGAGTCAGGAAAACTGGCAGGCCGGACTCGAGTCTTGGAGATGGGAAGCACAGTGTCCGAACTCTGCAGGAGTGGGTGTTTATGTTGCAGTTTTATAACTGTAGTATAAGCGCGCCTCTGGCAGGACAGTGATGGAGTGAATGATGAAAGTTTTTCTTTTTCAGGCCACCCTGCCTTGGTGGGAGACGGCCGACGTGTTAATAAAAAAATCATTTAATGCGTGTCTATTATTTTGGCTTAGTTTAATTTGATTAATTGGCCTATTGACATGTAGTTAATTTATAGGGAAGGTTCTATCAGAAATTAAAATTAAGACATTAAAAAAGATATCAATACGTATTATATTCACCGGGAAGCGCTAAACCGTAGGGATCGTACAGTGCTTGATTAAAAGGAGGAAGGGGGGAGGAAGTAATCGGTTATGATCCAAGAAAGTTTAGGGCTGTTCATATTCCTTGGATTAAGAGCCCTTTATCTGCATCAAGGCATTTTCCCTTTAAGGAAAATTGACGAGAAGGTAAAAATGAAAGTTTAAGTTTCCACCAAATCACTTTTATTGGCGTCGGGGTAGCGGAAGACCGCTGTCTGGCCGTCATAGTGACGGCGAGGCTCTCACAGTCTAGTAGGAGCCTACCTACCAAGAATATACAGTACTTAAATGTTCACTTGATAATAATACTCGTGTAATAATTGACAATAATGCGAGATCATTTATATTTAAAATAAGTAATAATTGTAACCATGAAGACAAAGATGTAAATTGGTCTACCTATTTTAATAAACCTAATTATATATCAAAATAAAAATGTATTTCTTTTACAATGCTAGATTTTTAAATGATACAAAACAGTTATAATGTTTGACACCCAACTAATCTGAGAAAGAACAGCGACGCACTCAACTACAGTCGATGATATTCCTACTTCTCTCAAGTCTCGTTATTTTATTTTTTTGCAAAATATTTTTGAGTTTCTGTTCCCTTTCGAAGTTGCAGACAATAGAATGGAGAACTATCTGTTCTGGGAAGGAAGGGGATGGGGGTTGGCGAGTATCTTGATTTAAAATAGTTTTTTTTTTTTTTTGCACTCTGCTCCCACAATTTCCTCGGGTGTTAAGATTTTATGCGGATGTGGCCTATAGAGGTAAAAATTTCCAGTTCCACAGGTTGCTGCGAGTAGATATTTCTACATATATATGGAACTTAACCTAATGCTAAACTATCCATTTTATCTAAACACAGGAAGCAACATCTAAGCTCATTAGCTGCGGGAGTCATCAGCCGAGGAACTTGATTGGCTGATTAGAAGCCTTCTTGGGAGGCTGGGTCCAAGAAGGCTCCTGATTGGAGGAGGAGGGCAGCACCATCCAAGAGACTCGGGGATTGGACATCCCGTAGCCAATGAAGTGGTCATTGATTTCTCTTTTTATAGTTGTTTTATATTTTCGAGTTTTTTATTACTTTTGGAGGAAACTTTTGTAGAGAAAATAAAGCGGACAGTAGAGGTTTGGATGACATTTACTTTACTCAGTTACAAAAACTTCTTTGGGTTATCTGTCTGCATAATTGTTGTTCCTTCCTGGGTAGGAAAGTTGTGTTTCTTTACACTGATACTATGAGTAATTTTGTAGTAAACGCCATTTTTTTTTTTTTGGTGCACCCCCAGTAGATGTTTTTCTATAAAGTTTGTGTAACTGAGTGTGACTTGGTGGACGTCTGCGCGATACACAACGTTAATTGTTATTATTACCACTTATACACAACTTATATATATTTATATATATTTATATATATCCTATATAATTATCTGGAAACAATGAAAGAAAATATATATCATTATACTCTGACACCTGTAGGCATATACGTCCAATGTAAGCCATCCATAGTCCTAACAACCAAGATTGTGGATAGTATCTTGTACGAAAAGGGGAAGCTGAAAGTAAAGCTACAACGAGATACAAGTCGCTGAGGTGTGATTACGACGACACAGTAGCATAGATACAACGCCCGCTGGTCGTCCACATGAGCCTGGAGGCTTAAGGGTGAGCCACGCGGTGTGTGAAGGAGGAGATGGTTTTGCGGAGGGGACGTCGACACAACCTTTGGATGTCCGCGCGTCCCTCCTGCATGTCTGAAGTCTCGCCGGGTCGTCGTCAGGAGGGTAGCTACTGAGGGAGGGCCTTGAGGATAGCGTGGACTTCCTCAGCTACGGCCATCAACACGAACTCAAACTGCGCCTTGCTCTTGACCATGTGAGGCCGCTGGTCTCGTATATGTTCCAGTGTGGCAGCGATGTCGATTTCTTTTGCTCCCTTCGCCATGCGGTTGAGGACCATGTCGATGAGGCAGTAAGTGCCTGTGCGACCGATGCCATCACTGTAAAGACAAGTTACTGCATTATTATTACTTATTAACATTACTTTATATATTCACAAAGCTCCACCTTATTTAGTCATTGAGCGTGAGAGTGAATGCCTTCAAACGGGCGTTGGGAAAGGGAATTTTGGTGCCGGTGAAGGGTTCTTGATCAAAGGAATTGTAGCTACACTTTTCCCCTTCATGGATCGAGCCTAATTGTCTACATTTCCTAGGTGTTGTATGACCCCCTACGAGCTTAGCGCTTTCCATGCATACACTAAAAATAAACTACTTGTAGGCTCTTGTAACTCTGGAATATTAAGAATGTGGGTGCTGCGCTGTATGACCCTTGTAGGTTTAGCGCTTCGTTTTTTATTATAATGTGGGACAAGAGATGTGTTCTGTACACTAGACTGTCATATCCCAGTCTATAAGACCTGTCAAAGGATGCCTTCATGATAAATGGCTCTTGATCCAGGAAACTGGAGCTTCCCACCACTGTAGATATTAGCTGTAATTGTTTCCATTCCCCAGACACTATATTAACTATCAGTATAATTACTCTAAGGCTTCACATGACTTTCCACTTTGCATTTGCTTCTCCTTTCACACCTTTTTACCTGCAGATGTCACTCACTTAGGTTTAGCAGTTTTTTTTTTTAAATATAATAATTCACAAATGCAACTTTTTATGTCAAAAGTCATTTAGATTTCTTCAATGCTGTAATTTTAACAATTACTCTGACTTTTATGTTAGCGCTTCTTTTTGATAATAATAATAATAATAATAATAATAATTATAATTCTGACTTTTATGTTATACATATTCGTGTGAGGCTGTACTGTGACAACATGACTCGAGGCTACACCATCTTGCTGACTGCCAGAATAAACTATGTACGGCATAGATCTTTATTTGGATTGAAGAACAATTATAATATTAAAGAAGCTAAATTTTGTAATACAGTATATATATAACAGCGTCACCAGAGCATCACAAGAAAAACTACCAGAAGCAGCAATCACTGGTGGCGGCGGCAGCGGTGGCGGCGGCAGCAGCACAGCACCACCACCATCAGCACAACACAGCACAAACGCAACCACTACCATCAGCACACCTGCACGAACGCCACCACCACCATCTCCCCCCCAGAAGCGCCAGCACAACCCACGAACACCAGGACCACCACCACCACCACCAACAACAACAACAACAACAACAACAAAGCAAGAGCACTAGAAGCATCACTAGCATCACCAGTAGCAAATTAGCTGGAAGATCACTACCACTAACGAAACAGCAAAAGTATCGCTATGACCTGCAAAGCAGGAAGCATCACCACCACCAGCAAGGAAGCATCACCACCACCAGCAAGGAAGCATCACCACCACCAGCAAGGAAGCATCACCACCACCACCAGCATCCCTGGGAGCAATGTCCTCTGCACCTACATTGATCCAACTCCGCTATTGTATAACATTTTCCCCGCCACCTCCACACTGGCACAAATAATTTCTTCGCCACACATTTTAACGTAAGTAAATAAAACTGGTGCAGTTGTTAACAAGATGCAGCTCTGGGCGGCATTATTTCATCTTACAGTTTGAAACACAAAAGTTTAACGTGAATACCTGTTGTTACCGGTCGCCCGCCAGCCCTTCAGTTTCATTTACATTATTTTACAAGAGAATCTCTTGTATGTTTATAGGTTTAAATTGTTGAGTTAAAGAGGATGGGAATGAAAGGGAAGAATTGAAATGGGAGAGGAAGGAAGAATGGAAGGGAGGGCTGGGTGACAGGAGCGGGGTGTAACTAGGGAGTTTAATAACCTACAGTACAACTATCTCACAACTTGATAATACACACACACACACACACACACACACACACACACACACACACACACACACACACACACACACACACAAAACACCTCCAGCTCTTGGACTTCTTGAGAGGGTTAGGCTACAGTTTCTAATGATCTTCAGTGTAGCTAGGACTCCTTTCTCTCCTGAAGTTTGAAAGATTCATTTACCTAGGCTGAGGTAGATGGGGGGGGGATATTGGATATGGGGATGCCTTTCTTGGATCGTCTGCACCAACTGAAATCAATTTAGTTTTCAAGTATTTTTTAAAGGCTGAAAGGAGGGACATAAAAGATTGAGGAAAATAGCTTAATTCGTTGTTGTAACTCAAGCATAAAGGACGCTTTCGGGGGTCAGTGACCCCGCGCCTGAGTCCCAGACCAGGCCTCCGGGTGCATCAAGGCCTGATCGACCAAACTGTTACCGTTGCCCGTACGCAGTCCAACGTAAACACAACCCGACTGATCAGGAAGTAACTTGAACTTATCAAGTTCTATATTAAAAGACTGTCAGGAGTCTGTATTTAATTTTCCAAGTATGAAGGAAATTGAAAAGTCTTGAGCCTTTTACATGTACTGCATTACCAGTGTACTCGTGACCTCCCTGCTTTTCATTAGTGTTTTTCACTGCCTGCCAAGACTCTCGCTTTTGTTTGGAGTGATTTGTGTGTGCAGATTTGGGACCAGTCACTAGAATTTTCCAGGTTTGAAGACTGCCAATATGACATTCTTCAGGTCACTATGTGTCACTCACACCCCACTCTCCGCCTAAATATATATATACAAAACACACATTGTGTATTGAATCCCTCTATGTTAGAGGTGATGAAGGTCTCAGGACCGAAACGTTTTCTTAATAGATATTGACCTAGTGTTTGCTCACGTATTTTTTTAAACAATTGCAACTCTCACTGTTCCAACTTGATACCCCTCAAGGAAGGTTCCTTGACGCTGGTGAGGGGCTCTTGATTCAGGGAATTGGATCTGTGCTCCAGTTCTCTGAATTAAGCCTGAATACCATCCACATCCCCCCCACAGGCGCTGTATAATCCTACGGGTTTAGCGCTTCCCCCTTGATTATAATAATAATAATCCAACTTGATAATAAGTTAAACAAGGTATCTTGTATTTTTATAACTTCATGATACCTACAGTGATACTTATGAAATTATTGCTGTGTGAAGTTAGTAAAGAAGTAAAGAGTAGAAGAATTTTATTGTGCAGAGGTGATGGCACCGTTTTCTCTTGGTTGCCATGGCGACCAGGCAGCATCACAAACATGGGATGAATCACTATAGCATTCATAACCTTAGCAACGGAATGTTTAGCCTGACTGCCGACCTCTGTGTGTGTGTGTGTGTGTGTGTGTGTGTGTGTGTGTGTGGCGCGGGGGGGGGGTAGGTAATTTGGTGGGAAGTGTGTGTGTGTGATGCTGGTAGTGTGTGATGGTGATTGTGGTGTAATGTGATAGTTCACCATAAAGAATAGAGGCACAATACCGTGTCTGGAACAATACATAAATAACCACCACTACTAACATTACCACCGCCAACACTACCACTGCCAATACTACCACCGCCAACACTACCACTGCCAACAAAGTAACTACCCACTCCAGTTATCAGAATCCCCATTAAAACTATAGGAGACAATGGAGATAATGGGTGTTGGGGTGAGAAGTGTGTGTGGGGGGGGATGGGTTCTGAGGGGGGACTAGTGGGAGTAATCGTGTTAGTGACAAATTTGTCTCCATATTTTTTCCCGTTTCCTAGTCAGAAAAAATATTTGACAGTTGTGTCTCTCATTACAGGTTCCCGGAACATGTGTGTGTGTGTGTGTGTGTGTGTGTGCGTGCGTGCGTGCGTGCGTGTGTGTGTGTGTGTGTGTGTGTGTGTGTGTGTGTGTGTGTGTGTGTGTGTGTGTGTGTGTGTGTGTGTGTGTGTGTGCGTGTGCGTGTATATATAAATTACCTATGAAGCTATAGAAGTAGTTATGACCTTGGTGTCCCATCTTTAGTATTTTTTTCATTATATAATATTTTTAAATTTTTCAATGTTTGGAGCACTTGTATTTTTCGATTCATTCCGTTGGTCTACCACTGTGAAGAAATTTTTTAATTTATTCTTCGGCTCCACTTTTTTTCCCCTCGGTTTACAACTATAGCCTATTGTTAACACCTGTAACCAGGGTTATCATGTCTATTGTTCTGCTGACAATCAAGATTGGCAGCTTTAGTGTTAACTTTAACTGATAAATCATATTTCTCAGCTCTGGTAGTTATTGTTGTGCTGCTGCCGCTGCACAACACTGCTGCTGCTGCCGCTGCACAACACTGCTGCTGCTGCCGCTGCACAACACTGCTGCTGCTGCCGCTGCACAACACTGCTGCTGCCGCTGCACAACACTGCTGCCGCTGCACAACACTGCTGCTGCTGCTGCCGCTGCACAACACTGCTGCTGCTGCTGCCGCTGCACAACACTGCTGCTGCTGCTGCCGCTGCACAACACTGCTGCTGCTGCTGCCGCTGCACAACACTGCTGCTGCTGCCGCTGCACAACACTGCTGCTGCTGCTGCCGCTGCACAACACTGCTGCTGCTGCTGCCGCTGCACAACACTGCTGCTGCCGCTGCACAACACTGCTGCTGCCGCTGCACAACACTGCTGCTGCTGCTGCCGCTGCACAACACTGCTGCTGCCGCTGCACAACACTGCTGCTGCTGCTGCTGCCGCTGCACAACACTGCTGCTGCTGCTGCCGCTGCACAACACTGCTGCTGCTGCTGCCGCTGCACAACACTGCTGCTGCTGCCGCTGCACAATGCTGCTGCTGCCGCTGCACAACACTGCTGCTGCTGCCGCTGCACAACACTACTGCTGCTGCTGCCGCTGCACAACACTGCTGCTGCTGCTGCCGCTGCACAACACTGCTGCTGCTGCTGCCGCTGCACAACACTGCTGCTGCCGCTGCACAACACTGCTGCTGCTGCTGCCGCTGCACAACACTGCTGCTGCTGCTGCCGCTGCACAACACTGCTGCTGCTGCTGCCGCTGCACAACACTGCTGCTGCTGCGCCGCTGCACAACACTGCTGCTGCTGCCGCTGCACACTGCTGCTGCTGCCGCTGCACAACACTGCTGCTGCTGCCGGCTGC